GCTGTGCTCCTGCTCGCAGACCTGGGAAGGACGCGGGAGCTACCGGCGGCAGAGGGCCTGGCACTGAGGCCTCGCCCTGGGCAGGGTGGCCCGGTGGAGTGGGCGGAAGCAGCACTTTTCTGTAAATGGAGGCTTGTGATCAGGCTGCAAAGTCTCCCAGCGGTTATTGCAGCATCATGTACAGAGCCCCTGCAGGAACTGGATCACAGCGCACAGGTCATTAATCCGTTTTAGCACCAGGTGGCTGTTTTTTTACTTCCCGGTAGCTTTTACCAGCCATGGTCTCCTGAGAAATCTGAAAAAGACAAACTCACCTTTGATTTAAGCTCTGAAGCATTAAGCATATGTTCATAGCCTTAACTGGTTTGGCTCAGTGAATAGAGCGTCGGCCTATGGACTCGGGCCCAGGTTCGATTCCAGTCAGGGGCATGCATGTACCTTGGTTGCGGGCACATACCCAGTAGGGGTGTGCAGGAGGAGGCAGCTGATCGATATTTTGCTCATCGATGTTTCTAACTCTTTATCTCTCTCCCTTCCTCTCTGTAAAAAAATCAATAAAAAATATTTTTAAAACGAAGATGTTCATAACTGGTTATTTAAAAATGTATCTTAATTCCATTAAAAAATACTGAGTGTCCATAGTGTGCTCAACACTGTTAGGTGCTGTGAACCTTTGTAGTTGATTCATTGAATCAATAAATATGAATTGAGCACTTATGATGATCTTATTTCTGCTAGAAATTGGAAATACAAAGATCAATAAGACAGGATCCTTACTGTTAATCAACTGAATGGTCAAGGAAAACAACCTGAAGACATAGGCAATATATTATTTTGTGGCATAAATATTTGCTGGCATGAGATGGCAGCACAAATGAGTGGCATAGTAGGGGAAGAAGGGGAGATGACTTCCTGGAGGAAGTGGCACTAGGGTAGAGCTTCCGAGGACGTGTTTCAGCGTTCAGTGTGCGCCCAGCGAGCGCTTCCTCGGCTCGTCGGGGAGGAAGGCCCCCTGATGGAGGAAACCTAAGAAGAACAGCCAGTGCTTCTCCAGAGTTTGCGCAAAGGCAATAGACATGAGTTGCTATGGTTCAAGGCAGATTGTGTTGTCATGCGGTACTTAACGTAAAAACAATGCCGTGTTCTTAGAATGGGAGTCCGCGGTTATGATGGAAGGCACACCACACCACTCAGCACTTACCCACCCACCGCCTCGTGCTTTGCAGCAGTCATTCAGCATGGGCTGGTGGTGCCACCCTGGGAATGCTCGGAGATGGGCACCACACAATGCGCATGCTACTTTCTGCGAGCAGTATGTATGGTGCATGGCCTCTCGCTACTTGCTGATGGAGAACATGGCACTGTCCTCTGGGATGGTCTCACTACTTCGTGTATACACAAGGTCAAAGATCCCTCCAAGAGCAGTTGACATGTAAGTGCGGATTTGTGTGCTTCCAATCATTACCGCTGTGGCAGTTGAGGGACGGAAGGACAGTGTAGGAGAAGGTGTGGAGGCAAACTGAAGGGGTCAGTGGACTGGAGAGAGCCTTACAGTAGCAGTAGATTTGACTGTGAAGCTAGATGTTGGCTTTGTTAGCCAGGAGTTGGAGAACGGGTGCTGAGGGGACCAGCAAGACTGACGGCATCTAAAGGAAAGGTCTGGTTGTAGGCAGCCTTGGGGACCCAAGATCAGAACTTGAGGCTATAGCCAGGGTGATTATGTGCAAGCCAGGGGCATGTAAGGCCGGGCGATTTCCCAGCTATAAGTGTTGGGTGATGATAGGGTGTCGGTTGAGTGTCCTACAGTGTTTACACCTAAAGGAAACTCTGAGCCTGTTATGTTGGCCTGGTTACAGATTCAGGGTCCGATTGGAGGCACGTAACCAGTCATGGTGGAGGTGAGGCGGTTGATTCAGGTTGTGCCCCTGACTCCCCAGAAAATGACTTCATTTTGCTTTAATTCACTTTTTCCTCCAACACTGAAGCCCTTGGTTATGGCTACTGTTGAGTAAGGAAAAAAGCCTTGTTCAGGGTCACATCACGTAAAGGCCTCTGCACACTTACAAAGAAAGCAACACCATAAGACCATAATGGGAAGGAAGGATTTGGTGCTTTAAGAGCAAGCCAAAAGCAGTCACGCTCAAGTGGAGAAGCAAAGAGTCTTCTTGCAAATAACAAGCAGATTTTGTAAAGAAAGGGAATCATTTCTGGTGACATGGGTCATAGTCAATATAGGGCCGAAATGTTGAACCCTCCACCTGGAATTTCCAGATTCCCCCCTTTGTCAAGTGTGGTATAGACAGATCTTGAGCTTTCCTGCGGGGCTGGGCCCTGGGGGCTGCACACACACACACACACACACACACACACACACACATACACACACCCTGGGACAGCCCGCAGAGCACTGACTCCTGTACACTCACCTTAGCTTGCTTTCCATTGCATTTGTCACTTTCCCCAGACAGACAAGCTGTGTGAGTGGCCATCCTCAGACAAGGTGCTGGTTCGAAAGAAACAGGTGACTGCAGGCTGCTAAGCACAGATGACCTTACATGGAAATAGTCTCTATGAAGCCCCCAGAGGCAACACATGAATGGGTTACACCCTGTTGAGCCAGCAGAGCCCTTGAGTGGTGCAGATTCCTTTAAAAGCTGGACCATTGCCCAGCCAGAGTGGCTCAGTTGGTTGAGCATCGCCCTGAACCCCGAAAGGTTGCCAGTTTGATTCCCAATCAGGGCACATACCTGGGTTACGGGTTCAATTCCCACTCAGGGCATGTATGGAAGGCAATTAACTGATGGATGTTTCTCTCTCACATCAATGTTCCTCTCTCTCTCTCTCTCTCTCTCTCTCTCTCTCTCTCTCTCTCTCCTCTCTTTCCCTTCCTCTCTCTAAGGATTTAAAAAACAAACAAACACAACAACAAAAAAGAATGAGACCATTACTTAGTCTCTGGGCCCGAGCCATGTTATATGGTGGGAGTGGTACCCTGAGATTTCAGTGGTTTCCCCAATCCCTTGCTCTCAGGTGTGGAGAATCAGATACATTGTAGTGACTGGGGACTGCTTATAGCACAGTTCTTAACTGGGCTCCATATTGAAAGTGTATATCTTCGCTCTCGCTCTCACTCTCGCTCTCCTTTATATACATACACATATATCCTTAGTTAGTCCTCAATTTTATTAGCAATTTGCTCTCCGTTACCACTTAGAATTCTTAGTCCATCCCTGACCCTGACCTACTACTATATATAGTATAAAAGAAAATCACACTCTCTTTTCTTGAATTGTGTGGGTCCTCACTACCTCTCTGACTCTGATTTGGTGAGGAGTGGGACTCAAGTGCAGAAACCCTGCTTTTGCGACTTGCTTTTTGGCCCGTGTGTGCTGTTCTCCGCTAGCAAAGGGCGTCTCACTTAGGCTGCACATTGGAGTCATCTGAGGAGCTTTATAAAATACCAGTGCGTGGGCCCTGTCCCCAGAGATCTGATTGGACAGGTCTGGGTGATGCCTGGGTACTAGGCTTTTAAAAATCCCAGGTCATTCTAACGCATGGCCACGGTTGTACCTTGCCGGTCTGTAATTTTCGACCAACATTTTCCACCGGCCTGAAGTGGAAGCCTGGTCAGAATCTGCCTTTGGATCTGGGCCATCTTGATTCCTAATTTTAGCCGTAGGCTTTTGGATTTATAGACAGAGGGGACAAGGCCCAGAGAGTGCATTTCTTTCCAAGGGTAGCCCACGCAGGTTGGCCAAAAGGAGAACACTGACAGGTAGCCGCCACATGAATTGGAGCTGTAATTTTAGGCTTATGGTCATATACTCTCTCGTTCATACGTGGTTCATTTTCATTCTTAAGGTGAAAGTCACAAACAACATTATTTACTTTTATCTTTATGGGATAAATATTGTACTTGTAACACTTGTTTTCCCTCCAGTCCAAACATGCCTGTGATGCATGTGAGCACACATACACGTATGTCATGAGGGAAGGAAACTCAGAAAGACGAGGAGTACACTCCCATCTGTGGCCTCAGAATAATGTTCTTTAGCTTCGGCACCGTGGGAAAGGGGTAGAGAGCAAACCTAGCAATACATTTCAAATTACTAGTTTGAAGTGACTGCTGAGAAACATTTTCCTGATGATAGAACTATCTTTTAAGCAAGGACTTTCATTTTTAAAAAATAGCAGGATGCTTTCCCCCAGAGAAAACGAAGTTCCTTTGCCAAAAAGAGCCATGAACTGGGCGTCCACACAAGGAAACCAGTGCCGAGAGAGGACGGAGGGCCCCTCCTGCTGCGTGTTCCCACACCGTTGTCTGTAGGGTATCTGTGTCCTGGCAGAGGCATCTCGTGTCCAGTGACTGTGGAATGAACCCAGTGTCATGTTTAATCAGAGCAGGAAGCACACCCCGCTCTGTGTGAGAAGCAGATTGACTGGAGCAAAAGACCAGTGCTTGGCAGAGGGCCAGAACCCACAGGATGGTGCCCCACTGCCATAGGGAGCTCCAGAAACAGAGAGTAGGGCGAGTGCTGTGTCCTGGGCTGGGACGCACTCCTGCCAACACACGGCGAGAAGACCACCCCTCTCTGTCCTCTATATTCCCAGAGTCCGCAGCTCTCCCCACCCTAGAGCTCCTTTCCAGGCCTCTCCTTCGCCCGGTCCTGTCCCCTCCTTGCCTGTTCAGAGCTCAGTGACTTGTCCTCGGTCACAGGGGACTTGGATCCTGCCCGCAGTGCTGCCGTTGTGTGCAAGCGTCCGAGCCTCCGCTCGGCGTGTCTTGAAGATTGCTGTTTGGCTTTGTGGGTCATTTGGTGGGTGGCCGGGTGAGGAGTGATCATTCTGAATAGTAACTCTGGAATTTTATGAATCAAAAAGGCAGAGCTCCCACTGCACGTTGAGATGTGGGAGCGTGCCTCGCGGGCTCTGGTGATTCACACAGCAAGGGAGAGGAGGGCTTGGCGCTAACGGACACTTGGCTTTTTTCTTCCCCACAGGCCCCCCTCCTGCGTGTTACAGTCCCAGTAGCCCCGCCCAGATTCTAGAAGACCCCAACTACTTCTTCCCAGACTTCCCGCTCTACTCCGGGAGGCATGAAGCGCCTGCTCTGACAGTGGAGGCTGGCGGTACCATCAGGGAGAAAGTTGGTGAGTTCTTTGGCACTTGTGGTGGAGACACAAAAAGATTGTAGGTGTCTTGTTTTTAGCGCTTTTGCATAATTCCCCCCCCCCGCCCCCTGTGCTCATTTAAAAAAATCAGCATGGGGTATTATTGGTTGTCTCTTTATAGGCAGGTGCCTTATTTTTAATGTTTGTGCTATGGGTGTTAATAGACTTTCTTATTACCCTGTTTCCCCGAAAATAAGACAGTGTCTTATATTAATTTTTTCTCCCAAAGTTGCTCTAGGTCTTATTTTCAGGGGATGTCTTATCTTTTCATGCGCTAGGTCTTATTTTCAGGGAAACACGGTATAACTTGTGATTCACCAGAGAGTTCCTAGGTAGGTAGGAACTTAAGAATGATACCATTTATTCCCTAAATTTTCTCTAATTCCTAAATACATTTTTGGTACTCCTTCCTAGAATCTTTCCTTCTTTATTTCTTTTTACTTCACTTTAATCTTTTTGCAAATAACTCAGAAGTTCAGAAGAAATTCAAAACTATAGTAGGGAAGGAACTGTCTCCTTTGTAAAAACTTCCTGTCTATTTTTTGAGGACTTTTCAGGAAAAACGAAGAGGGAATTTTTATTTTTAAATATATATATTTTTTGTTGACTTCAGAGAAGGGAGAAAGAGAGATAGAAACATCGATGAGAAAAAAAGAATCATTGATCGGCTGCCTTCTGCACGCCCCCCACTGGGGAATGGGCCTGCAACCCAGGCATGTGTCCTTGACCGGAATCATCCAGGGACCCTCCAGTCTGCAGGCTGGCGCTCTATCCACTGAGCCAAACCAGCTAGGGCAGGGGTCAGCAAATTCATTAGTCAACGGAGCCAAATATCAACAGTACGACGATTGAAATTTCTTTTGAGAGCCAAATTTTTTAAACTCAAACTTCTTCTAACGCCATTTCTTCAAAATAGACTCGCCCAAGGCCGTGGTATTTTGTGAAAGAGCCACACTCAAGGGGCCAAAGAGCTGCATGTGCCTCGCGAGCCGCAGTTTGCCCACCACTGAGCTAGAGCATATGAGGGAATTTTTCAAACCACTTTAGGGAAGCATCTCAGGGCCCAAATGTGCTTAGGAAAGAGAATGTAATAGTTTTCATGCCTGGTGAAACTCTATTCCTTTTATTATTCATCAAAAAAAAAAATCATTCTCCTCTGGAAAATACCTTTTTATTTTAATAGAATTTTTATTCATTTTATTAAAAAATGATTTTTATTTGATACTGCCTGTTCCAGTAAGCCTTTCAGATCAGTTATCCTGAGGATATGGGCATCCTTTTTACTCTCCTGCTCCCGCATCTGTCAGGGAGCCTGAATACAGCAGGTTTCAGCTAGTCTGCTTAGTGAGTGTAACCTGGTTCAACCCACACTGATCACTCTTTCCGTGGGTCGTTCACCACTTACTACGACGATTATTTGGCCGTTCATCTTGCGTGGAACTTCCATGATCTGTTTTTACTGTTTAACATGTTTTCTGTTGAACTTCAGGTTTCTATTTCAATTGCAGTTACCTGAAGGGAAGGGCTAAGTTTGAATGTGCGCCACATGCAGTCCTCTGGGGCAGATAGGAAGTCTGCCCATTTTTACAGGGAAGAGAGGTTCAGAGAAGCAAAGTAATTTGCCTGCGGTCCCAGGCGAGGTTCTGGGGAGATGGGGAGGGTGTTATGGTCAGCGTTGAGCTTCCTGAAGGCTTTCTATGGATCAGAGCAGTGTTCTAGGCGCTGGCGATGCAGCGTGTGATTTCAGCAAATAAACTCCCCACCCTCTGGTGGTTGGGTCTAGTAGAGGAAGACAGGTCATACCTACAGTGTGGACTGAAAGGAGAAGAGGCCAGAGGCTAGAGGTATTCAGAGGCTTCTCAGGACATCTAAGCCACTCGTCAGGAGAGCCAAACCTGAGGAGTGGCTGAGGGCATGGGAGCTAGGTCACACAGTCTTTGCTATTGCAGGAACACTAAAGATGTTATCTGTTGTCACCTTTTCTCATATTGTAATATCAAAGAGAATAAGTGGTATATAATCCTTGCCAATAGAAGACAGTAAACCCAATGGAAGGTGTCTATGTGCGTATTCATGTAAATGTGGGAGTATAAGTATATTTACATATTTACTGGTAGCCCTGTGCACAAGTAGCTTGTTGCTGCTTGCCTCAGCTGGCCACCCGCCCACCACCCCTGGTAGCTCTCTGCTGCTTGTAGCTCGCTGCCACACCTCCACCTGCTGCCACGCCCTCCTATAGCTCTCTACCACTTGTAGATTGGTTGTGATGTTATGGCATACGGATAATTAGCATATTCCTCTCTCATTATATAGATAAGCATATTACACCACTTTATTTTTTTTCTTCTCTCATTTCACTGTGGGCAAAGAAAACCTAACTTGGCAGTTGATTAAATGGCAGGAGCAAAGGAGACAGAAGGTCAGAAGTAAATCTAAAATTTCTATCAGGATGACTCATACGAGGATGCCATTTATAGGTTAAAAAAGAAAAAGGCAACCTTGGGAAAGAAAGACGGTTTGGGGGAAATGACATGGTCTATGTATATATAGAAACACAGAGCCATTATTGCATGGCATTGTAGAACTGAAGGTTGCTTAGCGATGAACTACTTCATCTTCTTCAGTTTGCAGGTGAGGCTGTTGAGGTAGGAGAGAGGAAGTGATTTGCTCAGGGCCATGCCAGTAGTAAGTGGTACAAATGTTACTATCACAATGCTACATGAAGTCTTCAATATACTACTTACTAGTACTGCTGTGAAATGGGTTAAATTATATAAGGTTTCCCACACTTTTAATAATTATAAAGGCAGTGTTTATTAAACTACATTTCGTTTTTTTTTTTTTTTTTTTTTTTTAAATATATTTTTATTGATTTTTCACAGAGAGGAAGAGAGAGGGATAGAGAGCTAGAAACGTCGATTAGAGAGAATCATCGACCAGCTGCCTCTTGCACACCCCCTACTGGGGATGTGCCCGCAACCAAGGTACATGCCCTTGACCGGAATCGAACCCGGGACCTTTCAGTCCGCAGACCGACGCTCTACCACTGAGCCAAACCGGTGCCGGCTACATTTCGTTTTTTAAGTTGACCTATAAGCTGTTCACGTGTGTATCCATTTTTTTGACACCCTGTGTGTATATGTGTGTATTTAATCTTTACCCAAGGATATACTTTCATTGATTTGTAGAGAGAGAGGAATGGAGAGGGAGAGAGAAAGAGAGCATGAAATATCAATCTGTTGCCTTTTGTACACACCCTGACCAGGGATTGAACCCACAGCCTACGTATGTGGCCTGATTAAGAATCAAGCCCACAGCCTTTTGGAATGGGACAATGCTCCAATCAATTGAGCCACCCAGCCAGGGCTAAATTTTATATTTCATGGAGCTTGTGTAAGTATCTTTTTACTGGTTAAATGTTTGATCCCCCTCACTGGGTTGTGTACTAGGGAGATGCAAATAAGAAGGCATGATCCTTACCTTTCGGGAGTTAGAGTCTGTGTAAGTAAATAGTTGCCCTCTCCGGTGATCACTGATCTACTGAGATCTGTGCCAATGGAGTAGATATTGGAGGAGGGCTCGAGCCTGCGGGGCTGCAGCAGGAAAGGACTTCCTCAGAAAGTAGCTCAGAGCTATCCCATGCTGCATGGCTAGGAATCCCTAGGAGGACATGGTGGCATGCATCTTTCTAGGCAGAGAGACAAATGTGAGCAAAGGCTCTGAAGCCAGAGAGAGCCAGCATGTCTGGGGTCTCTATGTTCTTAGGTGCGTTAGAGCTTAAACTCCGAGGAGTTGCCAGTGAGGGTGGGGTGGTGGTGGCCTGAAATGTTATTGGAAAGTAAGGCAGCCCTCCCCCGCCCCCGCCCTACACCAAGCATGTCAAACTCAAAGGCTAACGGGCCAAATAAACAAGTTTAAGTTTATGAAGGCCACAAAAAACAAAAGCTTCATTTTTCATAGAAACATAGGTTTATTTCGATAGAGACATGCTGAATACAAAAGGCTGAATGAAATAAATGAGTCATCGTTAACATAAGAGAACATTTTAATAAAAATTAATATTTTTTTCTTGAACATGAACTTACCAGACACTGAATAACTGCACAAATTAATAAGCATAACACACACCTATTTCTCTTGTTCTTTGAAAGTGAAATATTTCCTGTTGCACACACCAAGCAAGTCAGTCCAAAAATAATGATGTGGCAATCAACTGCTAAAATATTCGCTGCTAGTATTAGTGGAGAGAAATGGTGTGCCTGCGTGTAAGGTGTGAAACAGAAATGAATGCAACACGATTATAGTAATCAGTCAATAGCAAACGTTGTAGTTTGTTATTAATAATCCTATATAATAAAAACATAATAGGCTAAATGTCCGACCGTTCCATTAGTTGTTATGATGCACACTAACCACCAGGCGGCAGACTGACCAGTAGGTTAGCTTGTTGCTGGGGTCTGGCGGATTGGGACTGGGCAAGATGGGCTGGACACGCCCCCTAGCCCTCCCATGGTCCCTCCCCGGCCAGCCAACCTCCTGCAGTCCCTCCCCAGTTGGCTAGCCCCTATTGGCCCGATCGGAACTGGGAGAGAGAATCCAGATTAGCCCTGATTGCCAGCCAGGCCCAGGGACCTCACCGAACACTGGGCCTCTAGTTATAAATAACAGGATATTGTAAAAATTAAGTTATGAAATTTTTATTAAAATGTTTCTCATATTCCATTATATTGTCTGGGTCGCAAAAATATTCGTTGCGGGCCTCGAATTTGACATGCTTGCGCTACACCATGTTATAGAATTTCAGTTTTATCCTGTAAGTAGTTACTGAGGAATTTTGTGGGGAGCATTCATGTGATTAAGTTTTCCTAGTGGAATAATCTTCCAGGGTAGCGTGGGAGACAGGTTGCTGGCTGAGGGGCGGGTTTGGAAATGGGAATGAGTCCAGTGTGGGAGAAATAGATGAGCAGGCTGTTGGAATGAATGGTCTGGGGATGAGACACCAAGGGCTTATAAGTGTGGCGTGCACACAGATCTTGTGCAATAAATCAGATCCTGGCTCAGTCTTTTCCTACCTCTGTGACCTCTGAGATTTACCTTTTCTAAACCTCTCTCCTTATCTGTAAGACTGGGGGAATTAATATCTGCCTCATATGGAACAAATGCGTATGTGGAGAGAATGTAGTACAATGGCATATCATATGCACTTTAAAATGGTTCTTGTGGTTGTTATTATGAATCAACTTGGAGATTGGCATGGGAATAGAGAGTTGGGAGGGATATTTTGAGGGTAGAATTGACAAGCAGTCACTGACTAGGTGTTGGGGGTAAGGGAGAGGAAGGAATTTTGGAAAACTCTCAGGTTTCTAGTTTGGCAAAAATGAGACAAAGCAGGGATGCAGGGGGTTGGGTGGGTGGGTAGGCCTTTCGGGGTGAGGGGGACATGTGGAGTTTGAAGGACTCATGGACCACTGGCTGGCAGTTGTAGGTATGTGGGTCACGAGTCAGTCGTTGAAGATGACCGGTGGATGTGATGACCCCGAGATTCTGCTGAGTGAGGGTGGAAGAGCACCGAGGGCAGAGCTGTGGAAAACACCGGGATAGAGGGGCAGGTGGGGAAAAGGCAGGCCGGGAAGGAGTGGGCAGAGAGGCCCGAGCCAGGACCTGGGTGCCGCATTAGGCGAGCATTTCAGGAAGTGAGCGATCACCCTGCCAGATGCGTCAGGAGGGTTGGTTGTGTCGTGTGAGAGCTGGAAAATTCTCGCTGGGCTCTTGGTTAGTAGTCAGAGCAGGAGGGAGGGCAGAGCCTGGAGCATTTGGAAAGTGGAGACGGCAAGCATCCATTGCTTACTGAGGACGGCTAAGAGAACAGTGGGGAGAGAAGCAGGGTGTTAGGGGTACATGCAGGGAAGGCCACGGGAAGGACTCTTCTTTTTGTTTGGTTTTGGTTTCGGGTTTTTGCTTGTATTTTTTAAAAATATATTTTATTGATTTTTCACAGAGAGAAAGAGAGAGGGATAGAGAGTCAGAAACATCAATGAGAGAGAATCATCGATCAGCCGCCTCCTGCACACCTCCCACTGGGGATGTGCCCGCAACCAAGGCACGTGCCCTTGACAGGAATCAAACCTGGGACCCTTCAGGCCACAGGCCGATGCTCCATCCACCGAGCCAAACCAGCAAGGGCTGCTTGTATTTTTTTAAGATGGAAAAGACGTGGCACGTTTATATGAAGCGGAGAGGGGGCATGAGGGAGATTCAATGAAAGGGCAGGGGTGAAGGACGGAGCAAGGCCTAGGAGGAAGCAGGAGGCCAGAGAAGGGAGAGTGTTAGAGACACTTAGAATTGGAGAAGCACTTCCATGAGCAAACTGCAGGGTACACGGCGGCGGTGGTGGACTTAGAACCTCGTTACACGCTACTCCCGTTGGCATGCTGTTTAACACACCCTAGCAGACCTATGTTGCCGTGGGATAGCCTGAAAACCTTTTTCTCCTGTGCTTCCCTTCCAGTCGAGGATCCTCTCTGTAACTTCCACGCCCCGAGCTTCCTGAGGATCTCAGAGGTGGAAATGAGAGGTTCCGAGGATGCGGCCGCTGGAACAGTATTGCAGCGGCTGATCCAGGAACAGCTGCGCTATGGCACCCCGACCGAGACCATGAACCTGCTGGCCATCCAGCACCAGGCCACCGGGAGCGCAGGACCAGCCCACCCGACACCCGGCTTTTCTTCCTCGGAGAACCTCGCCCAAGAAGACCCACAAATGGTCTACCAGTCGGCACGCCAGGAGCCGCAGGGTCAAGAGCACCAGGTGGACAATACGGTGATGGAGAAGCAGGTCCGGTCCATGCAGCCTCAGCAGAACAACGAGGAGCTGCCCACCTACGAGGAGGCCAAGGCGCAGTCCCAGTTCTTCCGGGGGCAGCAGCCGCCGCAGCCACAGCCGCCGCCGCCGCCCCCGCAGGGGCCCGTGGGCCACGGCTACTACATGGCGGGGGGCACCAGCCAGAAGGCCCGGACTGAGGGGAGGCCCACGGTGAGCCGGGCCAACAGCGGGCAGGCGCATAAGGACGAGGCGCTGAAGGAACTGAAACAGGGCCACGTCCGCTCGCTCAGCGAGAGGATCATGCAGCTGTCGCTGGAGAAGAACGGCGTGAAGCAGCACCTCCCTGGCTCGGGGAGTGGCAAGGGGTTCAAGGCGGGCGGGGGGCCCTCCACAGCCCAGCCTGCAGGTAAAGTGCTGGACCCCCGGGGCCCTCCCCCCGAGTACCCCTTCAAGCCCAAGCAGATGATGTCCCCGGTCAGCAAGACCCAGGAGCATGGACTTTTCTACAGCGACCAACACCCTGGCATGGTCCACGAGATGGTCAAGCCTTACCCCGCTCCGCAGCCCGCCAGAACGGAAGTGGCCGTCCTGAGGTACCAGCCGCCCCCGGAGTACGGGGTAACCAGGTGATTATCAAGCCTAGCCCTTTCCCTCGGCTTCTCAGAGCCCAGTAATCATGTTTTTTTTTTGTTTTTTTTTTTTAGCATTTGTCGTTTTCAAGGCATGTTAGGTTTTTGTCATCAGGGTTTGTTTGTTGTGTTTTTGTTTTTCTCTTATGCATATTATTATTATTATTATTATTTTAAATATATATATTTTATTGATTCTTTTTACAGAGAGAAAGAGAGAGGGATAGAGAGTTAGAAACATCAACGAGAGAGAATCATCCATCAGCTGCCTCTTGCACACCCCCTTCTGGGGATGTGCCTGCAACCAAGGCACATGCCCTTGACTGGAATCGAACCCGGGACCCTTTAGTCCATAGGCTGACACTCTACCACTGAGCCAAATGGGTTTCGGTCTCTTATGCATATTATTGAATAAGCTAATTTGGGGCCAAACTGTCGAGTGGAACAGATCCGAGGGCCGTTGGGGATTTACGAGGTTAGAGGAGGAGCCTGCATTGCTGGCCATCCTTGGGCGCTCTGCCTGGTGGCCAGGCAAAGCAGGAATTTTCCTGGCTGGCTCTGTGGAGAGCAGCCAAGCTCCTGGAACATATTATTACTATGGGTTTCATGGGATGTTTCTTCACTGTAGGTTTTAAAGGAAAATGTAGTCTAAGTGCTTGGAACGGTGGAGTTAAAGGGACCGTAGAAATCATATCGTCCCATCCCCGTATTCAACAGATGACAAGCTAAAGCCTGGAGAGATTAATGAATTTCCACAGTGCACACTCCGAGGCAGCTGGAGCTCGGATCGAGTGTCCTGATCGCCCAAGTCCTTTCCCTCCATTGCCCTTAGTCGCTCTTCTGACTGGCGGGTGGAGTCAGCAACACTTCCCGAGAGTGTGTCCTGTGCAGCCCTGGCTCGGAGATAAGGATATGGTCCTTCCTGGTGAGGACTGACAGCGCTGTCTCCAGGGAGACCAGTATCTGAGCACATCATTGCAGGCTGCTGTTTTAGGACAGGAGTGTGAGAGAGGGCTAGGATGACTCACAACCGGAGGGAGTGAGGATAGTGCCACAGGGACGTGACATCTGAGTTGGGTCTTCAGGGATTAATCAGAGTTGAAGGTTAGAGGTGAAGGAGCAGGAGGTACTATGCAGGGGGATTATCGCTTCTTCAGCCAGTTCAGGAGATTCTGTCTGAATTGAGCTGCCGTCCTGAAGAGCACTGGTGGGATAGGGTATGGTAAGAGGTGGTAAGAGGTGGAAGAAGAGGTGTTTGGATGTGGAAGTTGAGGCCAGTGGGTGAAGGTCTTTTAAGTGTCATACTCAGAAGTTTAAAATGTATCCATAAACAATTGTGGTTTTGGCCCTAGCTGGTTTGGCTCAGTGGATAGAGTGTTGGCCTGCGGACTAAAGGGTCCCAGGTTTGATTCCAGCCAAGAGCACATGCCCTGGTTTCAGGCTTGATCCCCCTCCCCCCAGTCGGGGATGTACAGGAGGCAGCCAATCAATGATTCTCTCTCATCACTGATGTTTCTATCTCTCTATCTCTCTCCTTCCTTCTCTGAAATCAATGGAAAAAAAATATAACTAAAAAAATTGTGGTTTTGTTTGTGTTTTTTAAAATATATTTTTATTTATTTCAGAAATGAAGGGGGGGGGAGAGAGAGAGAGAGAGAGAAAGAGAGAGAGAGAGAGAGAGAGAAACATTAATGATGAGAGAGAATCATTGATCAGCTGCCTCCTGCATGTCCCCTGCTGGGGATCAAGCCCACAGCCCCCAGCATGTGCCCTGACTGGGAATCAAACTGTGACCTCTTAGTTCATAGGTTGATGCTCAACCATTGAGCCACATCAGCTGGGCCATAAACAATTATTCGTAAGTAGAGACTATGCTGGTGTTTAATTAAAAGGCTGACTTCAATGGCAGTAAGGGCAACTTGGAGGGAAGAGAGAATGGCGGCCAGGAGGACCTCCGGGGACAGTTTCAATAGCCCAGATAAGAAATGGTGAGGGGGGCATAGGTTTGAGACCATGTTCCAGAGGGTGGTCGGCAAACTGCGGCTCGCAAGCCACATGTGGCTCTTTCACAAAATCCCATGACCTGGGCCAGTCTATTTTGAAGAAGTGGCGTTAGAAGAAGTTTAAGTTTAAAAAGTTTGGCTCTCAAAAGAAATTTCAATCGTCGTACTGTTGATATTTGGCTCTGTTGACTAATGAGTGTGCCGACCACTGGTCTAGGGGAGCATGATGTGCTAAGGGAGGAGGGGAAATAGAATAGACAGGATTTAGTGATTGCCCAGGTATGGACGTTGAGGAATAGGGCAGTTGAAAATGAGGTGATTGGCAGTCGCTCAGGAGGGAAATGGGGATTTGCCAGCATTTAGATGTTGCTGACTTTGCCTGAGGAGAGAGAGCATGGGGCATGAGGAGAGAAGACAAGAGGCCACGGCCTGTTTATTGGACAGTCTTCATTCTCACAAAGGACTTATTTATCTGTTTCTAAGTCGAATGGGCTGAGGCTTCTCCTTGCGACCGCAGTGGTGGTGTGCGGGCATACCTCTGTCTACATCTCCTGAAAGGGAGTCACTGGCCTTGGCAGAGAGAGAGCTGGCCTGCCGTCCACTCACCGCCCAGCTGCTGACCCCTTCCCCCCGGAGGTCGGGAAAGCCAGCTGTGCAGCTGTGTGGCAACACACAGACTCCTGACAGGCGCTGAACCCTTTCCTAGCGTGGGCACAGTCTGACCCCACTGGGGAATCCAGGATGGGGCTCCGGGCTCCTGTTCTTACCCTTTCTCAGTTCCTTAACCAAAGGAGAAATTTAAACTCAAAAACGATCAGGTTTGAAGAGGAAAATAAAGCAGTCTTCACATCTCTGGTGTTTGTACCACATCGGTTTACCGTAGCTGCTTAAAATAACCCCATGGTGTTTGAGCCCATTAGAACGGTATCCGAGTTTGGTTCGGGACAGTTCACATTTCCCCCTGAATGTTTTAACTCAACCTTTAGAGCTCGACAGAAGGTGAAAATATCCCCAAGTGAAGTCTCCTTCCTTCCCTTTGGAGTTACTGTTTGTTAATAAGGCGATTGGCAATGCATAAAGTGGACTGTTTTGCTTTTTCTTTACTTGGCAGTAGCTGTGATATAAGGTGGAGGCATAGTAAGAGGAGGAGGAAAGCACTTCTTGGAAATCTACCCCTTATTTGTGGAAAGTGTCTTTTGCCTCAAGTTTGTGACATCAGAAAGAAGTATAGGAGGGATCTGAGCCAATTGCCAGACTTGGCAACCAGATTGACATGACATCAAAATGTCCCGGGAGCCGAAACCGGTTTGGCTCAGTGGATAGAGCATCGGCCTGCAGACTGAAAGGTCCTGGTTTTGATTCCGGTCAAGGGCATGTACCTTGGTTGCGGGCACATCCCCAGTGGGGGGTGTGCAGGAGGCAGCTGATGGATGATTCTCTCTCGTCCATGTTTCTGACTCTCTATCCCTCTCTCTTCCTCTCTGTAAAAAATCAATAAAATATATTATTAAAAAAAAAAAAATGTCCCGGGAGACGTAACAGACAGGCCATTGAGGCCGGGCCCCAGCACCACAAGGCCCCTTTGTGAGCCTGGCCACGGCCAGCCAGCGTGGCTCCGGCGGCCAGCCTTGGCTGAAGGGGTAAACAAAGCTGCCTCCACACCATTTCTGCTTCACTGGCCTTCGCTGTGGCCTGAGCTCCAGGGGCTGGGTCTATCACTCCGCACTGAGTGACGTACAAGTCATCTTTGACCTAAAAGACAAGCATGATGCTCCCGTGTCATGGACACGTACCCTTCTGCTTACAGGGTTTTCTGTTTGTCATTAATGGTGATGGTTTAGAAAGCTGCAGGCTATTGGGTCCATGCACCATAGATGCCTGGCAGAGGAGAGGCCTCGGAGTGAGATCGCTGGGCCCATTTCCTTGCCTGGAGCTGCAGAAATGGGCCCAGTAGGTTGCGCATACTTATTCTCTCACCTGCTCTGAGCTGCTGAAGATGGAGATGTGTGGTGGATTGTTGTAAAGCGCATTAGGCTCCCGTGGTGGGAAGCGCCATAGAGGGACCACTAGCACAGGCCTCGTGCACACCTCTGCTGTTGTGGGTGAGCTCGTGGGGCTGGTGACGTGGAGACTGAGGTGAGCTCCCCCTGCTGAGGTCGCTGGTGGGGCCCCAGGACCATGAGCTGACATGGATAGGGCTCCGATTTGTTCCTGTACCCTCTTCCCTTTCCTGCCTCTTGAAAGCGGAAATGGGTAGGACTGAAGACAGGCTGAGAACGCGACAGGTTGTATTTGGAGATTTGTGTCTTTTAAAAAAAAAAAAAAAAGGCAAGCATTTGCATATTGACTCTGACCCGCTTTGTGAAAATAGAGCACTTCCAAGGTGATGAGTTGGCTCAGTCATGCCCGCTGTGCTGCTAACGAAAGTGAAGGCATGAATGAACGTCGGTGGATGGTCTGATTTTTATCCAAGCAGTTTGGAGTAGTTAGTCAAATGCGTGTTTATTTCCAAAAAAAAATCTGTTCATATTTCCAAAGTGGAAACTAAAGATACTAAAAAAAAATCACTTAAAATATCCTATAATATTTTTGTAATATGCCCACTGTTAACCTTTTTCCTATACAAATTAATTTTTTCATATGTTATAATCATAGACTATACCGAGTTTAGTATCTTAGCTTTTGTTGGATAGTATCTTGTCATGTTTTTCCACAATGTTTGTTTCCATAACCATCCTCTTATGACTGCATTTCATAAAGCATATAATTTACATCACTTTGTGAATAACGAAAGCATCGTCGTGCATATCAAATTTTCCATATTTTGGTTTCAGTCCTTAGGAATCCTTATTTAGAAATGAAATTATTGGGTAAATTGTAATGAACATTTAATAAAAGACTTCTGAAACTGGATAACTGTGCAAAAATATTACAGTGCCTGATCACTGTACTCTGACCAACATGAGGTCAGTACAATCAGAAAAGCTTTGCTAA